GTAGAAGAAGGGCGACGTCACTGGCAGTCACGGACAAGACTGTGATAACAACCGACATGGTGCGGCCTGATTGGGCCAAGAAACTGGCAGACGCGAAATCCCACGCTTTGCGAAGGGCTGCCGCGGCTACTGCGCTACACAATGCTGCATACATGATGGGAAATCTTCCACAAGGAGAGAGCCGGTTCGGCCTTGGAAGACGAAGGCGGATCTTCACTGGCGACAGCGCTGGTAGCAGTGGACACGGGACACCACGACGTGAAGGTGAAAGCTCGTCTGGTCAGCCAGGAAACTCGGGCGACCTATACCCCAGCCGAATAAGCTCTAGGAGAGGGAACAGGATTGACGACCTCGAGGAGCTTATGATGATGGAAGCAATACGCCTGAGTCTGGCAGCCGAGGAAGATCGCAAGAAGAGGGAAGAGAAGGACGCCGCCAAAGAAGCCAAGAAGGAGGGTAAGAAGAAGGCCAAGGAAATCAAGAAAGTTGCCAAAGCCCAACGGAATATCGGCAGTGGCTTCCACCCCATCGAGATTGATGGCATCGACGAAACGGAAGCGGGCAGCTCTTCGGCGGCTGGGAAAGGAAAGGGAGTTGATCGGTCTGGTGGCGCCGGTGGCTTTAATCCCATGTCAGAACCGACGTCGACTTTGAACACGCCGGCTACCAAGGACGACCCGCAGAAGCATCTTGAAGCCAGTCGCGCACAGATTCAGCGAGAGAAATCTGACACCAGCAATCCGGCTCCTTCTCATCTCGAGCGCAATAAATCCAACGCCTCCTCGTCCTCGTCTTCGTTCGCCGACTCATTCCAAAACTCACTACAACAGCAAGAGAACCAAAACCTCGCACCTGGCTCTTCTTACGTGCCTAGTTCAAACGCATCAGGCATCAGCTTAGCCCAGGGCGACACCGATACTCCTCCACAGGATTCGAATAGCACGGAGCCAATGTTCAACTTCCAAAGTCTTACAAAGGCGATCACCCCCGAAGACGACAACAAGAATGAGAACAAGCCTCAATATATCGAGGACGTGGGCGAGACGCATACCGAAGAGAAAGCTACGACTGCGAACGGCAAAGCGCCTGAAGCTCCAACAGCCGCAGAGAGCCAGACCTCAGACCCGCTAGCTGAGAGCACAACGACGCTCAGGCCGAGTGAAGAGACACCAAAGACGCAGGACACCCACTCAAACGACGACGACGCAATTAGCCCCGCGCCGCCCATTCAACTCGTCTCAGACGACCACTCCCCCTCACACTTCGACCAGAAGCACCTCGGCGAAGTAAGCATGATGCACGAGTTGAACCACCAAGCCACGCAGTGAAATCCTTCCATCACAACAACATGACCAATTTCCTTTGTCTCGATCTTCACATCAACATGCATTCGAATCGGTGTTTATCATATCAATCAAACAAACGGCGCAAACGGGGGACATGGGAGTTGAACAATCGCTACAGAATCTTAGTGTCTATTCTGTGTTTCGGTTATCTCTGGTTCCGTGGGTTCATCGGGGCGTGGGAAGGTCTATGTTTTTTTTCCTGGGATAAAATTGCTGGGATCATGCGGATGGGCAAGTGAAAGCCTGTCTGTTGAGCTAGATGTCATGGAAAGAGAATGCATTTTATCACAAGATCATCTTGAGTGGAGTATGTTGAGCATGTACTTCGATCGGGGGGTATTCATATCAAATATAAAGAACAAAGCAAAAGCTCAAACTAACTCCTTGCACCACGACCTGCGCGTGCGGTTTCCCCTCGTTTCCTTCCAGCCCACAACATCTTTCCTGCTGTCCATCCCATCGTCATGCTTCCTTCACACCTTGACTCACGGCCTGTGAGAACCTAGCCTTTAAAGTGTTATTACCCTAGTTGCGAGCCGTGACGTAACGGCACGTTGTCTGAGTTCAACAAATACACAATTTCTAGGGCTTTGGAAGGCCTCTAGGAATTGTGTATTTGTTAAATTCAGACATCGCGTCGTTTTGCTATGACGGATCATGTATGCTAGGGTAACAACAGTTTAATGGCTGGGTGCTTGGAATAGTTGTGTGTGCTGTTACGATACGTGGTTGTGAGGCTGAGTCTGGGATGGGGCAGCGATGGGTGGCCAGCTGTTCTGTGAGAGCTGTGTTTAGTTGTGTGGTTGTGTTGTGGTATTGTTGTGTTGATGGCGCGATGACCAGGTTGAACGGGAGAAGATGAAGCCATGCGCCGTACTCCCAAATCCAATAAACGCCGTTGGTATCATGCCATGCCATGCCATCGTATAACTCGTCATCCCATGTCGTGAAGTCGTTAATGTTCCCTCTCTTATTATTCATCTCAGTATACCAATGCCGTAATGTCCCTCACACTCAAGTGCTGCAACGCAGCGCTACTCTGGCCTCCCAACCTCGTAAAGTAGAGTGATGCTAGATCCATAGTTGTGCGGAGCATAGCTGTGGGCTTGCCAGGGTGGTAGAGATCGAGGAGTGTGAGGGCCCAGCAGGCGATTTGGATGATGAGCAGCGAGGCTATGCAGAGGCGGAAGGAGGAGTCCTTGCCCATTGTGTGTGCGTGTTGTTTGGTTGTTTTATGAGGTGTCGTAGTGGAGTGTTGGTGATTTCCGTAGTGGCGGGATGGAGTAAGTAGTGGAATGCGGGGTTCCCAATTTCTTTGTTGTGTATATCCGTGACGGCCGTTCGTTTCGTGATCGTTTATTATCGTGAAGCTCGGATGCTCAATCTTCTTGACCCAAAATAACAAAGCGAAGAAAATGAAGGGTATCAAATGCGAAGAAAAGCTGAAAATGTGATTTATGAACAATGCGATATTGAAGCTTGCTTTAAGTGTAGCCAACGATGTAAAAAATAAACGAGGTTGGGTCCCTGCTGTTTATTGTTGATCTGTTGACGGCGGGTGGAAAAAGAGTCGGTGTGGTGAGTTGGCATACCGCGTGCATACAGCCAAACCCACTAGGTTAAGATACCCCAATCTTAGTCTAGGACCAAACGAAATTGTGGAAAGACCTCGACGATAATGTCAACAAAGAGGAAGAAGAAGCGACAAAAGTGGTCTGTCTACCACGTCTTCCCACATCGTCACGCGTCGCGCGTTCACACCACCACTCTCCCTGTCCAAGACCTCCAGTCAATGGCAACAACAGCAGGAGACCGTCTCGCGAAAATCGTCCGTGAATGTCGGTGTGTTGCCGTGCGTGATCTGCTCGGTTGAAGATAGCTCACTTCCTTCCCATCGGGCCTCCTGTCAACATGCAAGAACCCCACAGAAACTAGCCTGCAAGGGGTTAAGACTGAGAGCAGACAGGTGCATGTGAGCCGTCTGCAGCCTCGCTGGCAACAATACGCGTGGGGCTCTAAGACCCTTTGTGCATGGTTGTGCGCGGGCTGCGGGTGTTTATCCGGGCTGCGAGGGATGGTTGGTGTGTAGGTGGTAAGTGTTGAGGGTTTGTGGGCGGAGCGGAGGTTTGTAGGCGCGCGTATGTGCAGCTTCGTTTTTTCTTTGCTGGGGTCCTCGGATTGTTTTGCGGAACTTGCGGACTTTCACATGCGAAGATCGCGCAGGGCGTTAGGTAGTCGTGCATCGCACCTGGGCAAATGCGCCTCTCCCGCCTTTCGATTCTTTTTCTGGACGTCATCTGTGCTGTTGGAACACTTTCGTTGTTGCCTTGGCGGCGTGGTTGCCCGGCCGCGTAAGTAGTGCTTCTTTACCTGCATCACCACCGAAACATCAACAATATCGGCATGCGAGGTGATGTAGCCAGGCAACATTTTACCGAGCCGTCGCCGTCGTAACACACAATCTACGGACAAAGAAGAGGTCAAGCCTTATCAAGACATATTGGAGGAACAACAGCATTTAACCACTGGAACGAATCGCATACCAGCGCCGAGTTCGGTAAACGACCCAACCCATCACACCTGCGCGCGGTAACTATTTACAGTACAAGCAAACGATACGGGTCTTACGTGCGAAGCTTTCTGCAAGGAACCGTGCTGGAGGCTTAGATGGATGACACAAACTTCACCACCTGGGCATGTCCCCACTATCCGCGGTTGGTCGTATCCGCGCGGTTGGTTACCGAGGACACCTATCAGAGCGAACCTGAGTTCATGCCATGATGACGACGACAACATAGTCTACATTCCCCCTTTCATTCATTATAGTTCTGGCATTTGCTTCCGGATGAAGCATATTCGCGGTTGTGTAACCGGTCGGACCTCAGTTCAAGGCGCCTGCAATAGAGAGTTCATCCAATACATCTGCAGTAGAGAGTGCCGCGCGTCGTAGGCCCTTCTGCCCTTCGGCACGGCGGTATCTCATTGTATGAGTAGAGGTGTAGATGTGAAGGCTTACGAATGATCTCACGGGGCGTAAGTGATGGTGATGGCGCTTGGTCCCAAACTGACGGTTCATTGTCCCAAAGCGGTGCTAGGGAACTGCTAATCTAGGTCGCGATGATGTGGTTTGGTGGAGCAGATAGATGCGAAAGTAAGTGCCTTGCGGAAAGCCTGGGACGTAAGTGTCATGCTGTGCGAGGGCTCCTTGTCTACGCACGACCAGGCAGATGTATTTGGATGGTGTTGAGTCGGGGCGGAGTGAAGGGCGAGGTGTATATGAAAGAGAGTGTGTTCGGGGTGAAAATGCAGTGCCAGAGCGGAGGACAACGAGTTTGGAGCGAAAGAGTGACTGACAGCAAAGGTGAGTGAAAAACGGGGTTTTCAATTCTTCTCATCACCAAACTAGTGACTTCCAGATGAAGTGAGACCCTATCGTGGTTTATCTTGTTTGGTTAGCGCTGGTTTGAGTGGTGCAACTTTACACTGTATTTGTTTGCGCATCGCACGGGTGCTACCCCCAAGCCAAGCCTATACATCAACTTGGTTATAAAGTCTCACAGGTATCTCCTTCTTCCGTGTTGTGTCTGACCATTGCGCAGCCACTTCATGTCGACAGCAGACATTGCAATAGAACTACAGCCTTTTCGTACAGACATGGCTCGCGGAGATACTACCACACGAACGTATCGCGATGATGAAAATGACGCCGTCAGTCAAATGTCCAGTCCGATGAGTCTGGAGGAGCTAGAGCTTCAGCGGCAAGTACATCGACGTACTGCATCGCAGCACTGGTGGAAGAGATTGAACTGGTGCGGGTTATTATCGCGTCGACCTGGTGAAACCGAAGCCCACCGAAGGGAAAGGAGAAGACGTTGTGTTATTCGGTTTGGAATCATTGCTGTTATATTGACCATCTTCGGTGCTATTGCTGGAGGGTAAGGAGATCCAATCAAGGTGCGAAGTGGGACTAACATACAGCAGTGTTTACATCACATTTGTGTCTATACTACTGAAGCGGCTCGCTCCTTCCATCAAGCACAGTGGCCTCCAGCACATCGTCGATACCTGGCAAGAGCCGCACGCAGCCAAGGCATTCCAATTCGACTGGAGAGATGACTTCAGCCGTGACATTGTACCCAAGAGCTGCCACTCCCACAACGATTACTGGCGCTCTGTTCCCCTCTATGCTGCCCTCGCCGCGGGATGTACCAGTATCGAAGCAGACATCTGGTTAACAGAAGATGGCGAACTGCGAGTCAGTCATTCTTGGGAGTCTACGACCAGCGACCGAACGTTGAAGAGCTTATACATCGACCCACTTCTGAATATCCTCGAACAGCGAAACGCAACAACAGCCTCAGAGCCAGACAAAAAGACTGGCATCTTCGACATGGACCCAAGCGCAACCACCGTCCTACTCATCGACTTCAAATCCGACCCGGCAGCAACATGGCCAGTCCTTCTCTCGCAACTCGCAGCCCTCCGATCCAAAGATTGGGTGACGTACTACGACGGATCAACCCTGCACACAGGCCCCCTTACCATTGTCGGCACGGGAAACGCCCCCTTCGACCTCATCCAGTCCATGACAAACCGGTACATCTTCTTCGATGCGCCCCTCCTCTCCGTCTCAGATACGAAGTACAACACCACGAATTCTTACTACGCCTCCGCCGCCCTCAGCGACGCAGTAGGCAAGCTGTGGTTCGCAAGCATGTCGTCAAAACAAGTTGGAACAGTCAAGCAGCAGGTCGAAGCAGCGGAGGCGAAAGGGTTAAAGAGTCGGTACTGGGGTACTCCGAGCTGGCCGATCGGGAAGAGAGATGAGATTTGGGAGACGTTGATGGGGCTGGGTGTTGGGGTGCTGAATGTGGATGATTTGGTCAGTGCGACGATGTGGAATTGGGGCTTTTGTGTTGTGGCTGGTATTGCGCTTTGCGGGAATAGCTAGATCGTCTTTCGCTATGCTTGAATCATTGATGCGACTCATAAATGGGTCCGTGTATAGTTTGGAGATCTTTGAAGAGCACCCGGGATGTTTGTGCAATGTTGTGTTCAGTGCCGTGGGCGCGATCAGCACAACGTCATGGCCATGTTGATCGATGGCTGAAACTCGTGTATGTCGCACCCGTAGAATCGACGTCATCGTGAAATTTCCCATTCGTCGTATCGATCGTGAAGGTAAACACAAACTCTGGAGCCCTAACATGTTAGCATCAGCAACGGTTCTGTTTGGACCCTGGCTGTGGGGACATCTAGTGGTTGATCATAAGAAGCTTCGCCGCGGATCCGCAAAAGCTAAGAATAGCCCCATTCCGTCTCGCGTTTGCCGGACAGCTGTCATTATCGCAGCAGACACGCTGGTACAAATGCCATCATCGTCGTCGACTCCTGAGAAGAAAGGCTCATTTCACCGCCACAGGGTTCGCAGCCATTCAACGGCCAAATGTGCCTAACATGTGTGATGCGTGTGGCTGAAACATTCCTGGGCAGGCACGATGCAAGCCTCAACAGGGGGTAAGTGATTACGTGGACAGTTTCTCGATTTGGGGTATCTCCACCAGGATGCTCGGAAATAGGCGAGCTGTGGACCTATGGTAGACATGCGACATCACCATCGTGGTTTCCGCGGTCTGCGAAGGGATTAGTTGCTTTTTTCATCGGCTGAATCTCTCGACGGCCGTCCCGAATGAACAGCCGGCAATGCTGCGACGCGATCGCGATTGTACGAGCTGGACACAATTTTTCTCTCTGTTGGGGCGTATCGATACGCGTGTACCTGCATCTGCACCCGGTCTTATGGCCAGAACGGATCAACGTCAGGGATGGCCGATCGGGTGAATCATGCTCATCGCTGCATGAGGCTCAACCAAAACCACATCCTCACCAACGACGATACACAAGTCGCTGCTCAACGGCCTGTCCGATGTGTGCAGAACAACGGTAATTAGAGCTTGGCCAGGCAGTTTTATGTGCAGCCAGCAGTGACGATATTTCCCCTCGGTGATTCGTTGTGGCGAGTAGCTAGCGGTTTCAGTGGCATGTGGCTTTTCCCGCTACCCCCTCCCTGCATACAGCTAGCATGGTCTGGGGACCGGCGCGCGGCGTTGTTCGTCAAAGTAACTCCTTGCGCTGCTACTTTTCTTCACTCGCTCTCCCACCCTGCCCTTTCTGCTATTGTGTCTCGAGAGCCTCTTCGCTCGTTCCTCTATCTCATTGTTTCCTTACCTTGCACAGAGAACCGACGGCAGGCCTTCGTTCAATCGCTGTCGTTACACGTCTCTATTGTACTACTCGTTCAAACGGCTCTCAAAAAGGAAGTGCTCGACGCACACTCTTCCGCCAGCTTCGTTTTGGCAAAACACTCCGGGATCTGCATTCCTATTCACAATACCCACAATACCCCGCCTGCGCGTTCGCAGTGACGAATCGGCACCCACGAACAACTACTAGATCTCCTTTACATGACAAGCAAACGAGCCTCCTCTCAGAGGTCCTTTCGACTCTCCAACCACGGTTTCCAGCCTCTCGACAACGGAAACATGGAGAACCGCGGCGATATCCCCCTCCAGACTGTCGTCAGTCACACCCCCACACAATCGTCGCCTACGTCCGGCAATGAGAAGTCGGAGAAGTCACACATGTTCTCGCGGGGACGCAGGAAGGTGGCTCTGGCGCCGGTGGACTCCAGAACAGGAGCGCCATTGCCTCCACGCCCCCATGAAGAGAAGACGGCTCTCAATCGCATGGGCAGGATTTACACCAAGATCCTGAACTGGAGCATCGTCACGCGCTACATGATCTATGTCGCCCCTGTCGCGCTGCTACTCGCCATTCCCATCATTCTCTCGCAAACCGGCACAATCACAGGTTCAATCGGCGGCACAGGCCAGAAGAAGTTCTGGATCTGGATCGAGATCATCTGGCTGAGTTTTTGGGTCATGAAGATTGTGGCACACTTTCTCCCCAACATCTTCGAGTTCCTTATCGGTGTGGTCAGCCCTGGTGTCAAGAAATATGCGCTGCTCTTGAGAGCTCTCGAAAAGCCTTTGTCTTTCGTATTCTGGATGATTGTCAACCAGGCTACGTTCCCTGCAGTAAGTTCAGAAAAATTACTTGAACGAACAGCCACTAATTTCCATGTAGCTCATTCGACCTGTTGCTGGTAGAACTGGCGAGAACTACCCAGGATGGATTGGCACTATGCAGTCCGTTCTGCTTGCTCTCCTCGTCTGCACCATCATCATCCTCGCCGAACGCGTCCTGATCCAGCTCATCAGTATCAGCTATCACCGCAAACAGTTTGACGACAAGATCAAGGAGTCGAAGCGCAACATCTACCTCCTCGGTATCCTCTACGACACTTCGCGAGCGTTGTTCCCCGCATACTGCAACGAGTTCGCCGAGGAGGATTACATTATCCAGGACACAATTCTGGATCTCGGGTTTGGCAGCAAGGGCAAGGGTACGGCTAAGCATGGTCGTTCAGGCAGTCGCACTCCCATGCGTCTCATCCAAGAAGTTGGCCGCGATGCTGGTCGCATTGGTGATAAGATCACATCAGTCTTTGGTACAATCGCCTCCGAAATTACCGGCAAGAAGGTCTTCGACCCCAACTCTGCTCACTCCGTCGTCTTGACTGCTTTGGAGAGGAACAAGAGTGCTGAAGCTCTGGCTAGGCGTATCTGGATGTCTATGGTCGTCGAAGGCAAGAACGAACTTTACCTGGAGGATCTTGTTGAGGTCATGGGCCCTGGTCGCCAGGAAGAGGCGGAAGAGTGTTTCGCTGCAATTGACCGCGACGGAAACGGCGACATCAGTTTGGAAGAGATGATCTTGACTGTGACTGACTACGCCAGACAGCGCAAGTCCATCAACTCCAGTATGCACGATGTCGACCAAGCTATCAACGCTCTTGACGGTCTTATCATGACTATCGCGGTCATTGTCTGCATCTTCGTCTTCGTCGCCTTCCTCGCTCCGGCTTTCCGTACCACTCTTGCTACATCCGCAACCGCCCTACTGTCGCTGTCCTTCGTATTCGCAACGACCGCCCAGGAGGTCCTCGGTTCCTGCATCTTCCTCTTCGTCAAGCACCCGTACGATATCGGCGATCGCGTCGACATTACCACTGAGCAGCTCACTGTAGAACACATTGCCCTGCTCTACACCGTTTTCAAGCGCGTAACCAACGGAAAGACTGTCCAGATACCCAATATCGTCCTCAACTCGCTTTGGGTGGAGAACATCACACGAAGCAAGGCCATGCGAGAACAAGTTTCCGTATTCTGCGACTTCGGCACTTCATTCGAGGACATCAACCTGCTCAAGATGGAGATGATGAGCTTTGTTCGCGATCCGGCTAACGCCCGCGAGTTCCACTCTGATATCGACATCGAGGTCGTCAGCATTGCTGAAATGAATAAGCTAGAGCTCCGTGTGGAGATCCGCCACAAGAGCAATTGGTCCAACGAGTCACTTCGCGCTTCTCGCCGATCCAAGTTCATGTGCGCGCTCGTCGTCGCTTTGCGCAAGGTCCCCATCAATGGTCCGGCTGGAGGCGATGCTGCTCTAGGCTCGCAAGACAAGCCTACATGGTCCGTCGCAGTCCCACCCGCCGAAGCTGTCGCAGCGTACGAGAAATACAAGGCCAGCGCTGATGCCGGCCGTCTGCGCCCACTCAACCCCAAGGAGGAGGACACCGGTAGGACTTCTGGCACTGACTACTTGGGCGTCGGAACGGAAGGCAACGCAATCACCGCCCTCAACAACAGGAAGCCGGGTCTAGACACCATCCGTGACGACACCTGGGAAGCTCGCGGTGACGACTCCAGTACCATTGGCCGTCCTAGCACAGACCAAAGACCTGATCTCGATGAAGTCCGCGGTCTCCTACGCAAGGCCAGTTCTGCTGGAAAGCGAAAGGGCGGAACCACACTCTCGCCATTCGGCTCGCGCGTCTCCGTCGATACACCCCGCCAGAACCCGCCGCCAGCACTCCCACTACACGTAGTACCCTCCGGTGGCCAAAGCACATATGCGCCCCCGCCAGGCGGCCCCCTACCTCCGCCGTCAATGCCTCGCAGCACTGCTCCCGGATCGCCTAGTTCCATCTCGACGGGACAGGTAGAAGAGTACTCGTACCAGACTATGGTTCCACCACCTCGCTCACGCAGCCGACCGCGCGCACCACAAGTAGAAGAAGACGAGGGCGAGAGGCGCTGGGATATCAATGCGAATGCGCCACAACGCGCCCCGTCGAATAATAACCCGTATAGGAGTCCTGGGTCGCCGCAGCAGGGCGGGTTTCAGCAGCAGTTTAAGAGGGAGTAGAGCTTCCATATAAGCTAGGGTGTCGAGCATGATGTATCACAATCATGAAAATTGAGCGGGCGGTGGCTTTAACATTCCTGTAATGTCTTTTTCTTTATATCTATTTAGATGGAAATCTTAGCATGGCATTGGTGGTGGTGATGGTGTCTTGAAGACGCTCACCTCACTGTGGCGTTTATATTGCTTGGTAGTGTTGGCTCATGAGATGGGCTGAATATCGATTACTACCGTTTACTACTTCATTTTGTCTCACGTCTCGCATTGGTGTATTTGTCACGTGAGTAACTATCGCCAGTCGAGACTGCGGAGCTGCGGAGCTGCATCACGTGTGCCTACTCGCTTTACGGGTATATAAACCCCTCCTCTGTCTTCTGGACTTGACTGCTTCATTCCACAGTTTCTCCTATGTTTTCCAAAATCCACTTCGCCTTGGACCATGGAGCAAGACTTTTTTCCAAAACCCAAGTGTCGCTGAGCTATGTGAGAGGCCGCCCACACAAACCCAACTACCTTTCGAAAAGAATCTTTAAATTATCACCGCCAACGATCCATGTCGACTTCTTCTCTGCGATTGCGCCGTTATTTAAAAACTCCTGGGGTATCTAAATGAGAGACTGC